GCTAATGGAGTATTTGATTAGCATCATCCTTAGCACCTGACTGACGGAGAGCAAAAAGAAAAATATTCTGATGATGTTTCACCGGAAAATGCTCCCGTGGCGAAATATAATTCACTGAAAGTTGTTCTTCGATTCTTAATGTGAGGAGACCGGGTTCCGTGGTGACTCCGGACAGGAAATATCCAGGGAGACAAGGAAAAACGGCGAACTTTTACTCCGAACTTCGAATCGGACTATATGTACAAACCGTGCTGGAATTTAATCGACGACAAAACTTGAAACTACAGCCGCACACGTACACAAAGATGTAACGCCGAAATTTAATCGACGACGCAACACTCGGGATAGAGATACACGCCGGAATTTAATCGACGACGCGAATCGGAAAGCTACAGCTAAGGAAAGATAAAGTGCGGTACATGAAAGTAAAGATAATTGAAAGATAACATGTTATTTGATTTTTGTCGGGGTTTCCTCTCCAGTAGATGGCCGGTGATATTTATAATGGTCGTGTGGTAACTGCTCCTTAGCAGTTTTCAACAGTTGTGCCCATGTTCTTCCATTCCGAAAATCTTGTCTTCATGTCCATGTGATGCCATGATTCTGCTTTCAAGATAACTGTCTCACGATCTTGTCCACAAGTGATAACTTCCTCATAATCATGATTCCAAGTAACTGTTCTCTCAAAATACGCATGTATGCTCCTTAGTGGTTTCCAACAGTTATGTTGAATCCACTACCTTGACGGTTCTTTTTTGACTCCACTACATTGGCGGTTGCTTTGACTTCACTATGTTGACGGTTACTTCTTCTTTCTGCATCTCCAACCAGTCACAACCGTCGACTTCCTCTTAATGTCGAAAACTCTACAGTGATTTTCTGAGTAAACTCAAACATAAAAGTTGTAGATCCATGAGTCTTCGTTCTTTTGGATTTTGAATGAGGTCAATCCGATCTGTCTTGAAGAAGTTATGGCCATTTTCCCGAACTAGCGCAGAACTGCAATTTCGTCGAAGTATCGACAAGATGAAGTCACGACCGTCGACTTCCTTTAACCTTGATGGCTTCTACAGTGATTTTCTGAGAAAACTCAAAACATAAAAGTTGTAGATCCATGAGTCTTCGTTCTTTTGGCTTTGGAATCAGGTCAATCCGATCTGTCTTGAAGAAGTTATGACCATTTTCCCGAACTAGCGCAGAACTGCAATTTCGTCGAAGTATCGACAAGATGAAGTCACGACCGTCGACTTCCTTTAACCTTGATGGCTTGTACAGTGATTTTCTGAGAAAACTTAAAACATAAAAGTTGTAGATCCAGGAGTCTTCGTTCTTTTGGCTTTGGAATCAGGTCAATCCGATCTGTCTCAAAGAAGTTATGACCATTTTCCCGAGCTAGCGCAGAACTGAAATTTCCTTGATGAAGTCGTCACCAGTCTTGTCAATAATACCCAAAAAATGGTCATTTTTGGGTGTAAATATATAGACATGACACATGTCTCTGACATGTGTCCCTTATGTTGGCAACTTGTTGATATTTGTTTCCACGTTGCCTCAAGTCTCTGCCACGTGTCCCTTGATGATGTTTGGCACAAACGAACCATGTCGACAAGTTGGCCATTTTTTGGTGTAAACAGATGAGAAAAGTTTAGTGCTTCAAATTGATTTACTCAGACCATTAGTTATGTACGCTGGAAAATGAATAAAGCAGTTGTTTTCAACATATTTCATAGAATTGCTTACCATCCGTATGGCTATGGAGGAAAATGGTGAAGTCGTTGTTTAGGTTGGAGAATCTGCATGTAGCATATCAAAACAAAATTTAGTGGCTTTGCATAGACTTTCGTTAATAATGTATGTCAAATTCATAGCCTGGTGATAATATTTCCAGTAGTCAGGATGGCTGGTGATGTTATTCTTCCACTAGGATATTAATTTGCAGTCTAGATGAATTGAAGGAAACTTTTCCATAGTGAATACACTTAAGTGTGATACACACATAATATTTTCTTAATTCAACTAGGAAATTATAAACCATACATCACACACAATTGATTCATGTTTGTGATATTGTTAAACTTTGACAAGATCTCATTTTTGAGTAAAAATTGACCGCATCAAGTTCCTATCGATCAGGCAATGAAATAAAGTGTTACTGGTTTATATAGTTGGTTTCTTGGTTTTGGCATCCTTTTCAGTTATGAAAACAATATGGCATTAGGATAAACAAAATTCAGCTCACATGGGCATAGTTTAAGAGTGGCATTAAGCGGTTCCTAAATTCTGAAAGCTTCATATTGCAGATCTGCTACTGACAAAGTGGGCTCTTTGCAGGTAACTTACGTATCTCCAAATGAAGATGAGCTCTTTGCAATGGCAGATGCACTATCTCCTGGAAAGTTATATTGTTCGAGCGAAAGTTATAAGAGCGAAAAGAACTGTCCTCCAGAATCGCTCATCAAAATGCTAAAACCTGCAATAATTCTTTTGCTTGAGAAGGGCGTAAAAATTGTAGTTGTAACCATAGGCGCACGAGGAGTATTTCTATGCTCTAAAGAGGGGTCTATTTTGACGAGAACTGTTGTGGAGAAACCCCAAACACTTGGTGTAAGTTCAGAACTGCACAGACTGATCTCACCTAATTGCCTTTCACATAAGTTTCATGATGCCAGACAGATCGAGGGAACCTCTCATCTCTTTGCTTTGCATCTTCCTGGCCTTCCTGCATCTGTTAAGAAGCTTACTGGGGCTGGCGATTGTTTGGTGGGTGCTACACTTGCATCAATATGTGAAGGTTTGAACATTATACAAGCCATCTCAGTTGGTATTGTAGCAGCAAAAGCCACTGTCAAGGCAGATTCGAACGTACCCTTGACGTTTGATCCAATTGGAGTTGCAGGTATGAATATTCTTTCAATAGAGACAGCAGGGAATTTATGCATTCTTGGATATTATATCAGTTTGGTTTGATTCTACTTCTTTTGCTGTGTTAACTTTAATAATTTCAGTAGAGTGGGTATAAAACAAATTGGTGTAATGGAAACGAGTGCGACTCATCAAGGAAAGCAATCGTGCAACATGTAGAGGCTGGTTCTGAACATGATATCTTCTTTCAATAGGAACAAGCTAATGAATGTGCTGAGAATGCTATAGAGGTACATTTTGCACTATATTGCCTATTCCAGACACGAACAGAATAAATCAAAAAGACTTTCGTTAGTTTAATCTTGATGCTGGATTCCTAGTCTTTTTGAAATGGATGTGAAGTAATAATATGTAATGAGGCCAGGAATGATTGTGCCTACCCTTCCTCGGCAGACGATGCTCGGTTGGTTTACTCGGCTGCGAAGGTTGTTTATGATGGACTACTGTGAACTGCTGCCAGCTTCAAGATGATGACGATCGTCAAGTAACTGGTGCAGAATTGGACTCAGAGACTGCTCTTTGCCGTTTGACTTCTTTTGCTTTTGGACTTTTCGTTTGGTACATTGGTGGTGTAGAATATATACTCTACAAGTAGAGTTGAGATACTGACACATGTACAGTGTTCAGTTTCTGTTACTGCATCAGTTCCATTAGTAGATGAATCCTTCCAATCAAGATGTGTCTATAAAACATTTTACAGTTCCAATAAATTCTCTACTCATTTGAATTTCTTCTTCCAGCAGGACAAATGCCTTGATCGAGTATATTTAGTTGAGAACCGGGGTCTCAGAGTTATCTGTATGTTTCATCCAGTGTGATGTTTTGGTTGCTATGGCACGCGTACTCCTGCCCTACAGATTCGGATGCCTGCAAATATCTCCTTGCGTTTTTATTTTACCTCCGATTTGTGAGGCTCGCCATCTAAGTTCCAACTCGAATGGTGAATGATATTTCCCATTATCATAATTGAAGTAACGAGACTCTCAATCTCTTAGATAAAGTGGACCAAACTCATCTCGGGTTAGGTACATTGCGTTGATATACATCGATGGTGTGTGCCAACAGATCATGCTCTATTGTTCACAATTGATTATAATATTTGGTCGGTAGCTTTATTGAAAAATATACATGGCAATGCAAGAGGCAACTTGTTATTTATCAAATAAAACATTGTTCAAGTGATTTTTTATATTTAGTTAATATATATTTTCCACGTATTATATCATGATGTGGCAAAATCAAAGGAAAATAAAACTAAGTATTGGAAAAAGGAAAATGAATCGGTTGGCAAAACGGCAACCATAGCCAATTTGAAGATTCTCATAGGTTTGGAGAAGCTGTGGAAAATAAAGAACCCACCCAAAATACAGATGCGGCAGCTTCTACAGAAGCAAAGAAGCCAAAAAGAGGAACAGGTCACTGACTCTGCACCTATCCGCAAAGATTGGGAGTTCAAATCGAATCATTCAAAGGAGCAAATCCTCGGAGATGTCTTAGAAGGAATCGAGACTAGATCATCCTCCAGAACTCCACGACGTTCCCATCCGATATAGAACCAAAGGATTTGGAGGAAGCACTGTAGGATCGAAATTGAATTGAAGTATGCAAGAAGAGCTATATCGATTCAAAGAAAACGAAGTAGGGGAACTTGTATAACGGCCGGAGAATCATCCAGTTATAGATTAAAAAACAGGGGTACCGAAATGAAATCGATGGCATAGATTATGATGCAATTTCAACTTTTGAGTCAAGAACATTTGCTAAAGTATACGAGCCTGCCCTAGAATTTATTTCCCCCCAAAGTTCACACTCCTCTGGAAGATAAAAGCTTAATCACGCATATACGGGGTCATGAAGCTATAAGCTTTCATATTTTTCCATTGATTAAAACAACCAGATGGGTCGCAGTAACAAAGTTAAATAGCCTCGTGGACTTCAAAGAAGCTGGTGTTAGTGGAAACGTCGTCGTCTTGAGCTTGAGGTTGGGTCCACTTGAACTGTTTTTTCCTTCTCTAAAGTGCTTGTCTTTTGTATTTATAAATTGACCCACTTGAAAGTGTCTGGAGTCGACACTCTCAAGCAAAGCCAAGCCAAGAGAAAACTCTGTTTCCTCTGTTTCTGTTCTCTTCCTCTGCTTATTTCTCCAGTCCCATTCTCTCCTCTTCTCCTTCTTTTTCTATTGCAGAATTGAATGTTAGATTGCAAGCATATAGCATGGCAGTATCAACGGAGGGGTGGCCAGAGGGACTCAGATTCAAACCAACGGAGGACGAATTCATTGGTCATTGATTGACGAAAAAACTCAAAGGAGAAATGGAAACCAAATGCGTAATTCCCGAGCTATACATCTGCAACTGGGAGCCTTCGGATTTATTTATCCTATGTGATGACAACTTACATTTAGCCCTTAGTGTTTTTATATTTCTCTATGCTCTTATGATATGGAAATTGGTAGTTGCCTATAACACCTTAGTGAACTAACATTAAACATTAGTTGCTTGTATCATTATCAAGTGGACCATTGGATTAACGCAAGAGTTTCTTCTTTTGTCCCCGTGGTTGTAAGAGGAAGACCGAGTGCAGATTTTGGAAAGAGACAAGTTACAGACACGTTACATGAGCACCAGACACCGCTAAGCCAATGGGGACCAAGAGGATTTTGGTTTACTATGAAGGTCGACAACCAAAGGGCCATGAGACTGATGTGGTCTTGCACGAATATTACCTAATTCGAATGTTTCAGATGGTGAAATTTCGGACCCAATATTTGACTGCTCTTCTTTTGCTTCCCCTAATTGAGCATCTCTAACATGGTTACAAGTGCAGGTAAAATTGATTTCATTTCTCTACACGTGTTCCTCATTCAGCTTCTTTGAGTTCATGATTGGCTAGTTCCTCCCTCTGTCCCACGATTTAAGTGCGATTTACCTTCAACTCCAGCAGTTTATTGAACATTAGTATCCGCGAAGCAGAAATTTTCCTATTGTATTTCGTAGAATTTCATGAGGAAGATTGAGACACCAACCTTACCAATAGTCATTTTATGGGAAAATTACCAAAAAAGCCCTAAACCTTTTACAATTGTGCCAATTTAGTCCTAAACCTTTTTTTTTTGGCCAATTCAGTCCTAAACCTTTTGCAATTGTGCCAATTCAGTCCATCCGACCACTTTTGGCCAGCCGGCGCTAACGTGGACGCCGGCCGGCGCCGGCGTGGTTGACGTGGCAATTTTTAATAATTTTTCGATTTTTTTTATTTTTTTCTCTTTCTTTTTTTTTTTCTGGCCTATCTTCTTCCCCGGTCGCCGGTCCGGCGACCGGCGAGAGGCTGAGGCCGGCGAGGTCCACCTCGCCGGCCATGGGCGAGGTCGACCTCGCCGAGGCGATGGCGAGGTCTCGCCGGATCTGGGCGGCTCGGCGCCGCCGGGCGAGGTCTCGCCCGGATCCGGGCGAGGTCGACCTCGCCGGCGGCAACAGGTCGACCTCGCCCGGCGACAGCGAGGTCGACCTCGCCGGCCTCAGCCTCTCGCCGGTCGCCGGTTGCCGGACCGGCGACCGGGGAAGAAGATAGGCCAGAAAAAAAAAACAGAAAGAGAAAAAAATATTAAAAAATTATTAAAAATTGCCACGTCAACCACGCCGGCGCCGGCCGGCGTCCACGTCAGCGCCGGCCGGCCAAAAGTGGCCGGATGGACTGAATTGACACAATTACAAAAGGTTTAGGACTGAATTGACACAATTGCAAAAGATTTAGGACTTTTTTGGTAATTTTCCCGTCATTTTATGTGATAGATTCATCACTGGTGTTTTAGTTCCAGTGACTAGTGATGGTCATACTGCCAAAAATAGTGATTCTGCAGCAACAAAGGGGACAATTTGTTCTTGAAATTTAAATTGCATCAATTCTGATAAGTGACGCACGATGTATATCGTGCATAAAATACTTTCGTGTAACAATGGAATTTCGGTTATCGTAACCCTAAAACTCATCCCCGGTACCATTTTGTCTTTGTAGATGGCGTTGGTTCTCTGTCAGCATAATAAACAGGAAAAGTAAGAAAGCAAAGTCAGCGAAAGCGAGTACGTCAACCGATTTAAGCGGCCTTAATAAGCTGAATGATTCCCAAAATGAAGGAACACAAGCAATTAGTGCACGGTGAGCAAATGTTGCTTTAGATTAACCCAAAGCAACTTATGATCTACAGATATATCTAAACTATACTAAAGCTGGAGTACTGTTCTGTTTTTTTTTTTTTGGGCTCAGGCATCTCCAAGAGTTACTATTGAACTGGACATTCTGAACGACACATCGAATTCTAATTTACCAGACCGGACTGTACCTACTCCTAATTAGCAGCCTCGACCGTGCAAAGAGCAACTCTTGTCTTATGATGACCATCAGCATGTCGACGGACCTAGTGACAGACCTTGCTACATGCCATTAACTCCGAGCGACGGTATCGATCTCTTGGATCTCTTGAACTTTGACAAGAGGACGGATTAGTATGATAAACCGCACTGCATGTGTAGATTTTGGTGTAAAAACCAGTGTTGAATTATTGCAATGGATTGCCTGTGTTTGAGGACTTTTATAGATGTTAATCTCAGCTTGCTTATTATATCAGTGATAATGCTGTGTACCAACTATGCTTCTCCGAGGAGAGGACATTACATCAATCTTGCAAGCTTGTATGTTGTAGAATTATCTTTTCCTCACAATTTGTATGTTTATCTCGATTTTATTAATTACTCGACACGGGTCATGCATCAATATCTATTCGTCTAACCATTGAGAGGGCTTGCGGTATGATACTTTCCTCCATAGTTGTAATACCCCAAGTCCATACGCATGACTTGTAGAGTGATTTGTAAGTAAAGACCTATTCTTTAGGAATGCCCTGATTACTCCCGACGATGGATTTCTCAATCTCTTTTGATTTCTCGCCTCTCACTCTTTCTTGCCGGCTCTCCTTTCTCCTCAATGGCGGCGCCACCCCGCCATGACGATAGATAAAGTAATCTTTATTTTACATATTTACCGTTGGATAGATGACACGAGGATGAGTTATATTTTAATTTCTAATAGTTAATAGATAGGATAAGAGAAAGAAATCTAATATAATCACGATCTTAGCCAGAGTGTTCAGTGTACAAAATCATGAGTGGTTAAACACTTCCTCCCTCCCTGAAAGCCTGTAGATATTAGATATCTTAGAATGGCATGATAGCAAAGTCTTGATTACTTCCTGGTAATATGTGCACTCGCCTCTACGAGTATCTTGTAATAAGAAACCTGAGGCCAGAGAGCCTTATGCCCGAATTGGAATGAATTGAATACTAAAAGTCAGTCCCATGTGGTAAGGGCCTAAGAAGTAAGAGGGGCGCCATAAGGGATAGAATACCTGCATTCATTCATTCTTATTTTTGGCATAGCCCCCTTTTTAAGATCAGTTTCCGCAGAAATGCTGCTGAAGGACCCAATACTAAGGACCCAAAAATTAGTGATGGTGGTGAATAGTTTTCTTTCTCTTTTGCATAAATGATGGATAGCTTTCACATTAACTAGGAAGGTCCGGCCCCCCTAAAAAAAAAAACTAGGAAGGAAACGTCTTTAAAATTCAAGCCTTCTCTAAATTTGACGTTTGTGTTCGTCGAATTTTTTTTTTTTTTTGATGTTTGTGGCTATGAAACTTCCTTGGATCATTTTTACTATCATAGAAATGAATCAACTTGGATGTCGAGTCAAAATATTCTTAGGGATTATTTCAAAAAAGGGTTTGAAGTGGGGCTTTTTCTCAAAAGAGGTGCTTGCTGTGTTGTGGTGGACTTTCAATTGGATAACAAAACCTTTAGTTTAGGGGTTTCAGCAGTTATTTATATGAAGGTAACTCGAGTGTCTCCTCCAGATGTTCTTGTACCTATACCGATACTATGTTAAATTGTGCCTTTTTAAATAATTTCCATTTGGTATAATGTTTGATCATTCAAGTTTAGGAAAAATCATAAGAAGTTTGATGTTGGCTTTCTATTCCCCCAAGTTCTTCTGTCTCCCTTATATTTTATGCTCGGATATCATGAACTGGTTGGAAAGATATGTGTAAATAATTCTGGTCATTACCTAATGCTTTGAATTGATGGAAGGATTTCCTGCCCATTTGTAAATCCTAATGTCAACAACTTATACCTCAAGTCACGAAATCTAAAAACATTATTAGTCGTGGATTTCGTAGTTCTCTCGTTGAAAACGATATTGCGTGAAAAATCTAAAGATCGTAGTCTTTCAAGTCTCGATTGAATCAATCCACTGGCGATTTAAAACATCAACATCCAAAAAATATAAAATTATCGTCAATGAGGGACAAACAGATAATCACTCTAACTTCCTTATTATGACACATTACACATCATAAAATCCGACTTATTCCTCAAATGCTAATCAGTTGAAGGCATCATCAAAATGACTTTTTCGTCGGTAGTTGCACCCGATAACATAAGCTTAGAGTGTGCATGACAATCATTCTGTGCTCGGGAACTATTTCTACTCAGAAATAATTCTTTTTTATTATGTGCCCGGAAACAATTTCTAAGCATTTGAAGGCGTTTGGTAACTGTCCAAAATTTCTATTCCTGGGATAGAAAAGAACAGAAATACGTTTGGTAACTACACAAAATTTCTTTTTATTAATAATATTTTAAATTGATTAATATTTTTTTCTTTTTTTTTTCTTTCTACCCTTCCCTTCTTTGGCCAGGGTAGGTCGCTGGCGCCGGCGACCGGCCACAGGCCAGGGCGTCGCGGCCCTGGCCGCCTGCCTCACCGCTGGCCTCGCCTAGATCAGGCAAGGCCGAGCCTCGGCGTGGGTCGCGACGGCGAGGCTCGGCCTCGCCCGATCCGGGCGAGGCCGACCTCACCGTGGGTCGCGACAGGCGAGGTCGGCCTCGCCCGGACGGGCGAGGCCGAGCCTCGACGTCGCGATCCACGGCGGGCCGACCTCACCGTCACGACCCACCTGCGAAGTCGACCTCGGCTGTCAGTCGCGACGGCGAGGCCGACCTCACCGTGGGTCGCGACGGCGAGGGTGGCCTCGCCCAGATCGGGCGAGGACGAGCCTCGCCGTCGCGACCCACAGCGAAGCCGACCTCGCCGTCAATCGCGACGGCGAGGCTCGGCCTCGCCTGATCTGGGCGAGGCCGACCTCGCCATGATCGACAGCGAGCCGCCTCGCCCAGGCGGCGAGGGTCCAACCCTCACCCTCGCCTCCACCGGTGGCCGGCGAGGGCCGTGACGCCCTCGTCGGCCCTAGGCTATAGCCGGTCGCTAGCGGCCGGCTGGCCGTCGGCGACCGGCCACAGCCTAGGGAAGAACAACACAAAGAAGAAAAAGAACTCATTCTCAAAATTGTGTCGAGAAACAAGAAGCAACTTTTTTTTACTTCTTGTTTCTGTTCCAAAACTGTTTCTGGGCACAAATTTTTGTAAAAATGTGCCCGGGAACAAAAAATTTACCAAACGCATTTCTGTTCTCAAACTATTTCTGGGAACAAAATAACAGAAATTTTCACTATTTGGCACGTTACCAAACGGGCCCTTAGTCTCTGGTTCTATACACAGTTGCAACTTCACTCCATCTAGTTGATTTTGATGCACTTCTTTTGATATTCCTTGTTAGCTGACCAGACACTGCCCCAATCGTTGCTTTAAAACTCTCTGCAGTTGACAACTCAGAAAGAACTTTGGATCACCTGATGTATGATTGATCAGAAGATGAACCGGAGCAAGGTGTCAGATTCCTAGACACAGTATTAATTGAACATGCACTGTTTGGCAAGCCTCACTTGCACCACAGATGAAGCCTTTCCTATTGAAGAAATCTGGTACAGATTTGCCCTGCACACTTCAACCTGTCATCACTAGTTTCACAGTCACTCTGATTGATGTCCCATGTGAATTCTGTGCCACATCTTGAATCTCTTCTCTTTTGGCCCTGCTTGTTAATCTGTGCATAAAAAAAAATCTTTTGAGTGTGAAATTTTGGTGGTCCTACTATTTTGAGAACTAGGAATCTCAAATTTAAAGAAAGGAAATTAAGAAATAAGACAAAAAGGGGAAAGGCTGATGACTGAGAGCAGCGGCAAAGACAGTGACTAGAGCAAGAAATCAGTCCCTCCAAACATCAACAATTAGGAGACAATGCATCAATTGAAATGTGTCCATGCCCCTTTTAAATCTTCTCCATGAGCAATCCTCCCTATCATTTCAACCACTCAGCAGTGGACCCTTTTCTTAGAAGCACAATCGCCACATGATTTTTCAAACTACAGCTGAAAGTTTTTCTATATTTTATTTATTTATAATTATTATTGAATGAGCAACATGACCTCCTATCATTGAAATCAGATGAGGAGCACCCTGTCCTAGTGAAATTGAGAACAAGTTCCCTTTCATATATTTTGTATCGAAATACTTGTGAAGCCGGATATCCTATGGTATCATATTGTACCGTACATCATTAGAAAAAATAATCTTCCCCTATCAATTGGGACAAAAAGCAAAGGACGAGAAGAAGAAGAAGAAAGTGAAAGAAATGAGGGTTGACATATCGAATATATTGACACATCTTCATTCCTACTCCTAGATGTTCCTGTTAAACAAGTCAACTGCCATCGTGGTGTTTGGAAACATCAACTGAGCAAATTAAATGCATAAGTATACACATAGCCAATCGAATTTTTTCAAGCCTTGGTGAAAGGGTGTTGGACATACAAAATCTAAGACATTGTAACATGTCATCCTTTTTGCGAATTTATAGGATCTTGAATCTCCATTATCTGGGTACTCCCATTCGTTTCAAATTCTCTTTTAGATAGGAACAAGATTAAATCGTGACAAGATTGTGATTCGAGATTGTAAAATTAGTAAGATTGGACAATACCTAAAACTTGTACAGATTTTAATTTCTCTCCATTTTATAATGGACCATAAGAGGAAAATTGGACCAAATAAATTTGTCCTAAACCTTAAAACAGAAATCGCAACGAGACTTTAATGTTGAATGCTTGCTCCTCCGCTTCGTGACGAGTCTTAACATCGATGATGACCAATCCAAACAACAATGTAGCTTTAATATATTCTAAGACTATATATATTAAGTTTTCTTTTTATATATATTAAGTTTACTTGGCTTCTCTCTCTTCTCTCTCTCCATTAAGTTTTCTTTTTCTCTAATATTTATTAAATATTTTTGAAGTATATTTATCGGGTATAGAACGATATTATCGTAACTATTTTGAAAGCTTAATCGATGGATAGATTTATCCAACTTCTATTGTATCTTTCATGATAATTTGTGTAGTGACCACCAATCCCCTTTTTCTTATTCAATTTATGAATTATGTGACTTTAATTTCATTTGTTTATGAACGGATATGAAATTATCGTTGGGTGTGATATAGCCTTCCTTTGAATATAACCCGGTTTCATTATTAAATTTGAAAATTATACATGAGGATTCACTGAAGTGTGGCAAAAAGAAAATAGAAGCCACAACACACTTCGTAGCTTATAAATTTGATGATAAAAAGAAATTTAGATTTGGCATATTGGTACCAAATTGCGCAATAATAAAACCACCCAAG